GCATCCGCAACCAGATTCCGCAGCTCGCGCAGCTGAAAAAAAAAAGTAGCCCTAAAGTCAAGGTCGGTCATTCCAGGGTCGAGACGGCGGAGCGCATCGCGGGGAAAAAAGACTAACAATGTTCTCGCGCGTCGGCTGGAGGGAAACTCAGGGTCATCATTGAGCACGGTGATGTCCTCTGGCCGATATCCGTACATGACTGCGAGGCCGACACAAGTTAAGCACGGTGTGAGCGACTGAGAGGGACGGTGCGTGAACATACCTATCAGCACGCCTTGGTACTGGTCGACATCCTGGTGGGTTGTGGGAAGCTCGCTGCGGTACGCGATGCCGATGAGTAGCGCACGGCGCCGCGCAGAACGGGCGGTGACCTGTGCCACCGGTGCCGCCGCCATGGTGGCGGCGGCGGCGGCAGCGACACCGGCGCTCCATTGCTATCGGGTAGAAGGCCCCTTTCTTTTCGACCTCGGCAAACGCGAGTACGGCCACTCGTGAGCCGATGATTGGTGCTCATGGGTGGTGGTATCAGCTCGTCGCCACGGAAGGTATGTTGAGACCGGATATGAAGCAGCGAAGGAGACGGAGTTGCCCATGAGATGAGGTGGTGGTGGAGTAAGGGGGGGGTGAGAAGCGGATGCGCCTGCGGGGGAGAGATATAATGAACCAACCATAGGTGAACGTGAGGAAAAGGCCCTCGTTGCAGTTGAGGGACACACGGTTTGTGAGCGCGTGAGCAGCCACAGGCCACCACGCCGGCTCAGCGTCAACGCGCGCAACCCCTGACTCTGCCTTTAATCTCACACATGGATCGTGTCAATATCTTTCTCGATGTTGGTCATGACACCGATCCGACCCCATTTCTGTCCATCCCAAAGCATGACATTCGTCGATTAACGCTTTCTCCGCACAAATGGTTAAAATTCGTGATGTTTGCTATATGTGGTGCAGATGGTGCTCTCTACGATGCCGCATGGACCCCCAGTCAATGATAACACCAGCTTTGCCAACATCAGTGAATCGTATTATTTTTCCCCTGATGGTACGACCCCTTATCTCTACGTGGCCTTCCTGTCGTGACATATCTTGGCAGTCTCTGTAAACGACACCCCTGCTTTCGTTGATTACCAGGCATTTTATGAACGAGACACATACTCTGGCAGCTCACTGTGCTCAGGAGCTTTTCGTGAATGTGTTGGGAGGCGGGATGGTGGTTCCTGTGTCGTTTCAGGGATACCCATTCAGTCCTGTGACGCAGTACACATCATCCCAAGGTGCAACAGTGATGCGGTGCGTTCACAGATGTCTCAAATAGTCCCTGTCCTCATCCAACCCCAGTACATCCAGTTCATTGTCCAGTCGCGCCGTCACTTGTACACATCCGAGTCTACAGAAAAAGATATCTTTGGGATCAATGATGTACAAAATGGGATTCTCTTAAACTGCCTTCTACACCGTCAGTTTGGCAATGGTGCCATTGCATTTTTGAAAGTATGTGACAAATTCTCTGAAAAGCAAAACCTGATCAGTTTTTGTTGGTTCTATTCTAGACCCCGAATCGTGCACTTAATTGTGACGATGTTCCAAGTGACCCGGTGTACCCAGAATATCCACACCGCATTACTATGCAGCATCTGGTACCCGATACAGGTCGCTACGCACGTCCTGATGATGACGCTCGCCTCCCTGATGGTGACTCCTCACCGCCAGCGCTCATCCTCGATTTTATGTATGGTGCTGCTGCGTACCGGCTTTGGAAATCCAATGGGCTCATGAATCATTGCTAACATATCATTCGAACCACTACAAAGATTTACTGAACCATGAACCATCCAGTGACAACTCTTCTGGTCCAAAGAATCACGGCACAAGGATCTCATAAGGAATGCTTGATGCGATGGACTGTTTAAGTGCTTGGTTGATGTCCTGTGGAATTACTCCTGAAGGACTGGCGGCACAACACCAAAAACAAGAGGACGAGAAGCAGCTAAAAGAACAGGAGACCACTCGGGCAAAAGTGATGGAAGGGATGGGAACTGCCTCAGATGCCGCCAGTCGACCTGATGTGTAAAGAATACTTCGTAATGGATATATGTTGAAACTATTTTATTCTCCGGGCTACATGCCATACAAACTGATTGAGACAGCGCACGATGACCACCTCTGTGAATAGCCCAAACAAGAAAGAAAACACGACTCCGAACCTCACCCATGACCACGCCATCGCTCACGGCGCGCCACCGCGCCACCCCCTCGCGCTCAGCTGCTGACCCACCCCTTCGGCTACAACCAAAAATGGCAATCAGAACCCAGCAGATAGCCAGGCAAGAACGCACCTTGACCTCCTGTCCGAGCTCGCGAATGAACAGCGAGGGCCACTTGGTAGTGCGCGTGCCCTCTTCCCCCGCGTCCCACATGTAGCTCGCGCCGACCGCCAGGCGCACCCAGTCCGCGGAGAACGCGGGCGGCGGCGGGAGCGCTGTAGCGCGTGTGCTAGCGGAGCCACTTTTGGCCTTGTGGTCTCAGATGGAGGCGGTGCTGTTCGAGCCGCCACGCGAATATGTTGTAGGTAGAGTCAAAAGCGAGCCCATTAACCGGCCAGACATGGTCGATGTCGTCGGCCGTCTGGCGGTGGCACTTGAACGCGTACTTTTTCTCTTGGATGGCCGGCGAGCGTCGAAGCGTTCCATGGCGATGCGGCCTTCGACCGAGGCGGTCGCGTACCCTGGCGGATGACGGTGACGGTCAATGCGATCGAGGCAAGGGATGAAAAGAGTGAATGGATTGAAAAGTTGGCGGGCGTACCCTGGCCGTCGGATATGCAGGCGAGGGCACGAATTTGAGAGAGCTCTTGCGCGTCTGCCTGGGGGGGGCATATTGCAAACGTCAAAATTGGAACTGGTGGCTTGCGAGCGCGACAGCGAGGTGGTGGTCAGTGGTGTCCATGAAGCTGGTGAGACGATTGCTGGGTCGTGGCTGCGCAAGGGTCCGAGAGACGGACCGTGCGGTCCCAGGAACCGGTGATGATGGCATCTGAAATGAGAAGAGGGATGTCAGAGCCGATGGGAGGACGGGAGAAATTGAAGTCCGAGACGAACTCAAATAGCGGACGCTGGATGTTGCGTCGTCGTGTTGGCCCAGTGCGTGAATTTTCCGACTGCAGTTCTAAGTTCTAAACCTATTTATTGTCAGCGAAAGTTAGGGTAAGTCGAGAGGACCGCGGCAAGATGATAGACCTTTGTCCTTGCCTCATTAGCTCCGATGTCATACAGCCTGACCATCTGGATAACAATAGTAGAGAGGGTCACACCAAGTCCCATGAAGCAGCTAATAAGAGGTGGCTGTCTGTCTGGCAGTGTCTGCAATGAGTGATGAGTGGGATGGCATGAAGGTCATAATGTTTGTAAAAAAAAGCCCGCCATCATCACCTCCAGGCAAATGGTAATAGTATGCTGCTTCCAACTCAGGACCCTCCTGTTGGTTAATGGTAAACTGGTTGAAAAAGAGCAAAACAGTTGTGAAGATGTACAACCACCCAACCACCCATGGCTAGGTAGCTCAATAGGTAGAGCACCTGGTATATATAGATTCAGGAGGCCTAGGTTCAAACCCAAGCCTGGTCAGTTAAATGCTGCCAACACCTTGCACAGGAGGGCCTTGTGGCTGTAAAGACAGCACACTGTGTACGCCGCAGATGGCAAACATGACAAAATCCAGCTGTCGAATATCTGAAGTCGGTATAGCAAGAAACGGGGCATGATCAACGTTGTCACCTGTGACAAGATAAAGATTGACCATGTTGGCTGTGTTCCGATAGTGCGTGGTGTGTATAATGTGTATTTTTGCACGAACATTTGTGTGCTTCCAGAGTTTGTGACGTGCTGCTTGTGATCGTCGTTCCGAGGCTTTTCCGCACCACCACGTCTTTCGTCATGAAGACATGCCATCGCAAAAGAAAATGGCACCCATTCAAAAATTACTGTACCATGGGCCTCGGAATCCCCCCTCCGAGTGAGCGAGTTACGCACACTGTCACTTAACGCTTTTTTGAAGCCCCTTAAAAATCGAGTCCGAAGAGTCCTGGTTCATTCGACCCGTAGCCGACTCAACGGAATCGATTTCGTTGATAAATGTGCCATACATGCGGATTGCAATGGCAAAACATGAGACAATGCGACGGATCGCACAAGATATGTCACGTTGCACGCAGACCCACGTGCATATTCTGACCACGTTTATCAGAAGCCAACGTGTCGGCTGTGCGTGCACTGGTCCACGCGTCGCTGTACATGAGATGGCTGTAAACTGGAACAAATGGTCCGCAGACCGCGTGTCTATCCGATGGCCCCATCTGAGGCAGGAAAAAAATTTCGTGTCCATGCGTGAAAAAAAAACAAATTGAAGGAGAAATGGTGAGTTCTCGAGTCCGTACAGGGCATTCAGTGGGCATTAAGAACCATCGCGGCAAAAAGTACAAGGGGCATAATCGTATAGTAAACGGCCGAGGAGAAACGATGCAGGATCAATAAAAAAAAAAAAAAAGCTCGGAACGTTGCGTCAAGCACGATCCGATCGAACATCATGATGCTTGTGATCAGGGTTACCACGCAGGATCCAGCCAGCGAGGTGGCTGTAATGCGGCAGAATCGCGAAACACGACCGGAGTCTTTCTGGTGAACTTTAGACCTGGAGGACTTCTTGCATATTCTATTAAGCGAAACCATCAGCCTCCGCCGCCGGGGAAACAAGGGCAACGCAGCCCAAGAAAGAAAGAAGGCTTACCAAGGGAAAGAGACTACTGAGCTGAACACACAAGGGACACCCGCGGATCGGTCAACGGCGTGAAAATACGTAAAAGAAGGGGAGAAGGCCGCGACGCACCAGCGGAGTTTGGAAGTCGTCCAGTTCGCCTTCGACGGTTTCAGCGCCTTGAACGTCCGTGGTCGATGCCTTCTCGCCATGGCAGCGCTCCCCTTTGGCTGCTTCTGCGGTCTTTTCCTTCAGTTTCATCTTCTCACTTCTTGTCCATTCGTGAAGCTGGCGTGACGTCTCGTGAAGTTTGAAGCTGTACCAGTCATGGAACATCAGAATAAGAATTCGAAGCCAGTCAGAGGGAAAACAGAGGAACGTACTTGATATGCGTCATGAGATCTTTGTACGATGGATGTTGGTTCTGCTCTTAATACAGAGGCCGATGATCGAATCACGGAGCAAACACAGTAAAAAAAATAAGCGTGCTTACCAAGAAAACTGCATACGATTTTTGTCAACGAGCCATCGTAGGCCTCCCATGTCCGCTGATTATCTGAGCATGCCGCCAAAGAAATCTGTGAATGCACAAGCCAACGATGAGTGAAGTGAGAAGTACAGAGCACAGAAGTAAAACCAACCACGGTCGGAATGTTGGGGTTAGGGCCAGGGACGCACCACCCGTTGCACTGCAAGCGCGAAAGAGGAGACATGCAAAACCGCGGCGAGGACGGCATTTCGTGATTTCGCAGATAAGGTGCGCTGATCTCGACGGGGGCAGGCGCGACGCGTCTGTCGATGCTCAGCGGGATGCTGACGAAAATGGGCAAAACGGAGCGTTTCTGCTCTGTAGAGCTGCTTTGCGCCAGGATGCTGGAGATGACTGGGGATGGACGGGGAGCGGGATCCGGGAGAAGAGGATCCTGGATGACTGTAGTCATGCACATGTCAGCCAACAAAACGGGTCCTCCCAGCACTGGACTGTTGCGAGAACTCACATGCGGCATTTCTTCGCACTGTCAATGTCATGAGGTTAGCACTGATGATCTTTATTACGGGAGGGCAGCAAACCTGTCACGTTCTGCCACGAGTTTGTGCGGCGTTTGCCCTTGGAGTGCCAGGGAACGTATATGGAGTTACAGTGATAGTGCGGAAGATCGAGAAGAGTTCCAGAATGACAGGTGTCCAACAATGCCTGCACGGCGTAGGTCAGAAAAGTCCGATACAGGTGGCACGACGGACGTACGAAGAGAGAACTGCCCGCAGGTAAAGGTTTGACAAGGATGTCGTTCAGTTCCTGTACGGGACACTTAGCACACGTCCACGCGCAATATCCAAAGGCCGCGACTCACGTTATCGATAATAATTTCTTCATCGATCGTGATGAGGTCTAGCAGCAAGTCGATCAGCGTTCTCGTGGGTTTGCAGGGGATGGTGGAAATCTTGTGCTTACACTCATCCTGAAAATCTTCTTCGTCGAGGTCCTTCGACGGCTGCTGATTGGAATGTCCAGAGACTGGCGCCGACGTCCGAGCGGGTTAGCCACAGGACATGCAAAGAATGGCCATTGAGCGAACTCACAAAGAAACGTGAAGCGGTCCCCGGCAGCAGCATCCGCAACCAGGTTCCGCAGTTCGCGCAGCTAAAAAGAAGTCTCAAAGTCAGTCATCCCAGGTCGAGACAGTGGAGCGCATCGCGGGGAAAAAAAAGGGGACTGACAATGTTCTCGCGCGTCGGCTGGAGATGGTTGGGGAACGCAGGGTCGTCCTTGATCACGGTGATGTCCTCTGGCCGATATCCGTATGCGGCTGCGAGGATCGACACAAGTAAGCTCGGTGAGCGAGCGAGCGACTGCGAGGGAACATACCTATCAGCACGCCCCGGTACCGGTCAACATCCTGGTGGGTGTTGAGGAGCTCGCCGCGGTATGCGATGCCGATGAGCAGCGCACGGCGCCGCGCGGATGGGGCGGTGACCTGTGCCACCGGTGCTGCCGCCACGGTGGCGGCAGCACCCAGCGCTCCGTTGCTATCGGGTGGAAGCCCCTTTCGACATCGGCAACGCGAGTACGGCCACTGGCGAACCGACGTAGGCGTTTGACCAGCCGGCATGGGAGGGAGACAAGGGAGGAGGTCAAGGAGGACCGCTTGGGGCTCGTTGGTGGTGGCGGTGATTGGGGCACATGGGTGGTGGTGTCATCTCGTCGTCGCGGAAGGTATGTTGGGATCGGATATGAAGGAGCGAAGGAGACGAAGTTGCCCATGGGATATGAGGTGGTGGCGGAGAAAGGGTGGGGGGTGAAAAGAGGATGTGGTGGCTTGCGGGGGAGAGATTATAATGAAGCATGGGGGAGTATATGTATGTAAGTGAACGTGAGGAAAAATGCCCTGCGTCGCGGTTGCGAGACATGGTGGTTCGGGTGCGGGCACGCCCCACACGAGTTTGGGCTGTGCGCCAACACGGCTCAACGTGGGAAGGGAAATGGAAATATCAAGATCTGTCTCGCTTGCACCTTGCACGAGGCTGCTTGTCGACTGGCGACTGGACTGTACGGCATTCACGCACTAAAATACAGCATTTCAAATTGAATAACTCGGCTGTAGAGGGGACGGGATATCCCGTTGCAAAAGAGTATACGGTATGGCTACAGTGTAGTGCTTCTATCAGTTGCGCAAACAGGAATAACTTATTGGCTTGAACATGAGCGGTGGTGAGTATACAGCGAAGTGTTCCGGTTACATGATGCATAGATAGGAAATAAGAAAATGAAAACGAAGAAAAGGTGCGTCACAGGAGAAGCATGTCGTCCATATCCTGATCACAGCAACCATCAGAGGGGACCCCAAGGCAGGCAAAACTACCAAAAGACTTACCAGCCTCGCCAAGCTACTCAGTTGTGGCGCCTGGAAGTTGTTAAGTTCCCCATCGAAACCAGGCCCTTCCCCGCGCGCAGCTTTCTTTTTCTCATACCGGGTATATTCGTGCAGCGCACGGCAATTCGTATGGACCTGGAAACTAAAACGGTGCAAATGCGATCGGATAAGCGCTCAGCGGACCGATGGCGGGAATAAGGTGGAGGTGTGGCGCACTTCACATGGGACATCAACGCCTGATATGATGGGAGTGGATTTATTTCTGTGATTGATCAATGTTAGTCCCATCCATCGCACACGAAAGGCCAAATTATGCGCTGACTAAGGAAGTCGCACAGCACCGCTGTGAGGGAGCCCCGTGGTCCTTCCCATGCACGCTGCAAATCGGCGCAGGCAGATAAAGACAGCTGGCGGAAGACGTGTGGCCTCAGGAAAATGTCATTCACGAACGCAAAAATGGCACCCACCACGGTTGCGTGCGGCTCCGAGTTATAATCACACCAACCATCACACACGCGACAATCTGGAGAGTCATATCGCTGCTGTGGGGATGGGGATGCAATCGGTCGGTAAGCCGATCGGCCTCGAGCCTGGTGTGGGTCCGCTTCCACAGACATTTCACGTTGATTTCTCGAAACGGAGCTGGCAATTTCGGTGTTGGCTCGGAACTGCGAGCCTGACGGTGTGCCGTTGTGTCGGCGGCTGTCCAGGACGTTGGCAATCGAAGTATGCCGCCGAGATGGCAAGGCTGGAAGCCCGAAGAATCCAAACGCAAGGTTACGCCCTAGGAAGGATATTCGTTGGAGTGGCAGAATAGGGAAGAAAAGACCCACCAATCCTGTTTTGCAGCGTTTTTGTACGGCGATCACCTCTCGATATCCACGGGACATACACCGCATTGCAATAATAATGCGGGAGATCGAGCATCGTGCCAGAGTGGCACGTATCGAAGATAGCCTGAAGCACGCGGGTGGGTGTACAATAGCTGCAGAATCAGAGAG